CTGAAAAACCCGCCGATAACCGAGCTGGCTGATAACCAAACTGGCCGATAACCAGGGGTCCACTGTACTGTAAAACCTGTAATTACTCCAAGCTATGTAGTACTTGTAATATTCTAAGCCTCAATTTTGACTCAACTGCTACTTTTACTGTACAGAAGTATTATACTCCACATACAGCATATTGATACTAAGATTATCATCATCATTTTTACTGCTGGCCCAGTGGCTAATGCACCGCTTTGGAGTTAAAAAAAAAAAAAAGGTAGGTAGTAAGTTGGTAGACAGCAACCACCCAGGGCAGTACTACCGTTCTGCCAAGTGAGTGTAAAACGAAAGCCTGTAATTGTTTTACATGATGGTAGGATTGCTGGTGTCTTTTGTCTGTCTCATAAATATGCAAGATTACAGGTACATCTTGCTACTTCTACTTACACTTAGGTCACACTAAACATACATGTGCACATTTACTTATACACACTCATTTGAGCTTTCTTTGATTTTATCTTAGTTCTTGTTCTAATTACTTTTCCTTTTATATCCATGGGGACCTGGAATAAGAATCTTTCCTCCGTAAGCCATGTGTGTTGTAAAAGTCAACTAAAATGCTGGGAACAATGGGCCAGTAACCCCTTTTCCTGTAAAATTACTAAAAAGAATAAGAAGAAGAAAATTGTCAAAGTGGGAAGTCTGAATGTGCATGGATATTGTGCGAATGATAAGAAAGAGATGATTGTGGATGTTATGAATGAGAAGAAGCTGGATATCCTGGCTTTAAGTGAAACAAAGCTGAAGGGGGTGGGTGAGTTTCAGTGGAGAGGAATTTACGAGATTAGGACAGGGGTTTCTAATAGAGTTAGAGCTAAAGAAGGAGTAGCAATAATGTTGAAGGATAAGCTATGGCAGGAAAAGAGGGACTATAAATGTATTAATTCAAGGATTATGTGGAGTAAAATAAAGGTTGGATGTGAGAAGTGGGTTATTGTAAGCATTTATGCACCTGGGGAAGAGAGAAGTATAGAGGAGAGAGAGAGATTTTGGGAAATGTTGAGTAATTGCATGGGGAGTTTTGAGCCAAGTGTGAGAGTACTTGTGGTTGGGGATTTTAATGCTAAAGTGGGAAAAAATGTTGTGGAGGGAGTAGTAGGTAAATTTGGGGTGCCAGGGGTAAGTGAAAATAGGGAGCCTTTAATTGAGCTATGTGTAGAAAGAGGTTTGGTAATAAGTAATACATATTTTATGAAAAAGAGGATAAATAAATATACAAGGTATGATGTAGCACGTAATGAAAGTAGTTTTTGTTAGATTATGTATTGGTGGATAAAAGGTTGATGAGTAGGCTCCAGGATGTACACATTTATAGAGGGGCAACTGATATATCAGATCACTGTCTAGTTGTAGCTACACTTAGAGTAAGAGGTAGATGGGATAAGAGGAAAATGGCAACAACAAGTAAGAGGGAGGTGAAAGTGTATAAACTAAGGGAGGAGGAAGTTCGGGTGAAACATAAGCAACTATTGGCAGAAAGGTGGACTGGTGCAGGTATGAGTAGTGGGGAGGTTGAAGAGGGTTGGAATAGTTTTAAAAATGCAGTATTAGAATGTGGGGTAGAAGTTTGTGGTTATAGGAGGGTGGGTGCAGGAGGAAAGAGGAGTGATTGGTGCAATGATGAAGTAAAGGGTGTGATAACTGAGAAAAAGGTAGCTTATGAGAGGTATTTACAAAGCAGAAGTGTTATAAGAAGAGTAGAGTATATGGAGAGTAAAAGAAAGGTGAAGAGAGTGGTGAGAGAGTGCAAAAGGAGAGCAGATGATAGAGTGGGAGAGGTACTGTCAAGGAATTTTCATGAAAATAAGAAAAAAATTTGGAGTTAAACAAGTTAAGAAAGCCTAGGGAACAAATGAATTTATCAGTTAAAAACAGAGAAGGGGAGTTAGCAGATGGAGAGATTGAGGTTTTGGGTAGATGGCGAGAATATTTTGAGGAACTTTTAAGTGTCGGCGAAGAAAGGGAGGCGGTAATTTCATGCACTGGCCAGGGAGGTATGTCATCTTTTAGGAGTGAAGAAGAGCAGGATGTGAGTGTGGGGGAGGTGCGTGAGGCATTACGTAGAATGAAAGGGGGTAAAGCAGCTGGAACTGACGGGATCATGACAGAAATGTTAAAAGCAGGGGAGGACATAGTGTTGGAGTGATTGGTATTTTTGTTTAATAAATGTATGAAAGAGGGGAAGGTACCAAGGGATTGGCGGAGAGCGTGTATAGTTCCTTTATATAAAGGGAAGGGGGACAAAAAAGATTGTAAAAATTATAGAGGAATAAGTTTAATGAGTATACCAGGAAAAGTGTACGGTAGGGTTATTATTGAAAGAATTAGAGGTAAGACAGAATGTAGAATTGCGGATGAGCAAGGAGGTTTTAGCGTGGGTAGGGGATGTGTAGATCAAGTGTTTACATTGAAGCATATATGTGAGCAGTATTTAGATAAAGGTAGGGAAGTTTTTATTGCATTTATGGATTTAGAAAAGGCATATGATAGAGTGGATAGGGGAGCAATGTGGCAGATGTTGTAAGTACGTATATGGAATAGATGGTAAGTTACTAAATGCTGTAAAGAGTTTTTATGAGGATAGTGAGGCTCAGGTTAGGGTGCATAGAAGAGAGGAAGACTACTTCCCGGTAAAAGTAGGTCTTAGACAGGGATGTGTAATGTCACCATGGTTGTTTAATATATTTATAGATGGGGTTGTAAAAGAAGTAAATGCTAGGGTGTTAGCCGGGTCGCCATATGGAGAAGATCCGGGCCGGAAGTACCGGCGAATCTCTAATGAATGTTAGGGTGTTCGGGAGAGGGGTGGGATTAAATTATGGGGAATTAAATACAAAATGGGAAGTGACACAGTTACTTTTTGCTGATGATACTGTGCTTATGGGAGATTCTAAAGAAAAATTGCAAAGGTTAGTGGACAAATTTGGGAATGTGTGTAAAGGTAAAAAGTTGAAAGTGAACATAGAAAAGAGTAAGGTGATGAGTAAGGTGATGATTTAGATAAAGAGAAATTGGATATCAAATTGGGGAGGAGGAGTATGGAAGAAGTGAATGTTTTCAGATACAGTGGACACCCGGTTAACGAACTTTTTTCATTCCAGTAGTATGTTCAGGTGCCAGTACTGACCGAATTTTTTCCCATAAGGAATATTGTGAAGTAGATTAGTCCATTTCAGACCCCCAAACATACACGTACAAACGCACTTACATAAATACACTTACATAATTGGTCGCATTTGGAGGTGATCGTTAAGTGGGGGTCCACTGTATTTGGGAGTTGACGTGTCAGTGGATGGATTTATGAAGGATGAGGTTAATCATAGAATTGATGAAGGAAAAAAGGTGAATGGTGCATTGAGGTATATGTGGAGGCAAAAAATGTTATCTATGGAGGAAAAGAAGGGAGTATATGAAAGTATAGTAGTACCAACACTCTTATATGGGTGTGAAGCTTGGGTTGTAAATGCAGCAGCAAGGAGGCAGTGGAGATGTCCTGTCTAAGGGCAATGTGTGGTGTAAATATTATGCAGAAAATTCGGAGTGTGGAAATTAGGAGAAGGTGTGGAGTTAATAAAAGTATTAGTCAGAGGGCTGAAGAGGGTTTGTTGAGGTGGTTTGGTCATTTAGAGAGAATGGATCAAAGTAGAATGACATGGAGAGCGTATAAATCTGTAGGGAAAGGAAGGCGGGGTAGGGGTCGTCCTCAAAAAGGTTGGAGGGAGGGGGTAAGGAGGTGTTGTGGGCGAGGGGTTTGGACTTCCAGCAAGCATGCGTGAGCGTGTTAGATAGGAGTGCATGGAGACAAATGGTATTTGGGACCTGACGATCTGTTGGAGTGTGAGCAGGGTAATATTTAGTGAAGGGATTCAGGGAAGCCGGTTATTTTATATAACTGGAATTGATTCCTGGAAATGGGAAGTACAATGCCTGCACTCTAAAGGAGGGGTTTGGGATATTGGCAGTTTGGAGAGATATATTGTGTATTTTTATACGTATATACTTCTAAGCTGTTGTATTCTGGGCACCTCTGCAAAAACAGTTATTATGTGTGAGTGAGGTGAAAGTGTTGAATGATGATGAAAGTATTTTCTTTATGGGGATTTTCTTTCTCTTTGGGTCACCCTGCCTCGGTGGGAGACGGCCGACTTGTTGAAAAAAAAAAAAGTTAATATAATTCCAACCTTGTCCAGGCTTGGTATGAACTGGGCCATAGGGGCATTGACCCCCAAAACCCCCTCCAGGTATACTCCAAATATTGTATGAAACTTAATTTTGGGTTTAATTATAGGTCAGCCCAAAATGCTATGAATATCTATGGTACATGTTGTAAATATAGACTATTGCAGTATTAGTCCCAAGTAAGTTAATTAAAATAAGGATCCTATTTATTAAATCATCCAATGCTAGAAAATCTTTAAGTAGAAATGTGGCTGACAAAAGAAGAAAACAAAACAATTTGTATCTAAATATGAAAACTCTTTACATATTTCTATAAATCATAAATAAAATAAGCCTTAATAAAACTAGTACAGTGGTATTCCGAGTTTTGAACTTATTTCATTCCAGAATGCTGTTCAAGTGCCAATACCGAACGAATTTGTTTCTATAAGGAATAATGTAAATTAGATTAGTCTGTTTCAGACCCACAAAAATACACTTACAAATGCGCTTACACAAATACGCTTACATAATTGTTCAAGTTGGGAGCAGTTTGAAACTCGGGGTACCACTGTATTTTATTTTTTCACTGTAAACCAATAAATCAATGAAGATGTATCTAAAGATAAAACACTTAACAAAATGAGCCATCATTAGGCAATATTTTGCTGCAGTGTGAGTTTCAGCAAGTCTACAATTATTTATTTATTATTATTATTGTTATTATTATTATTATTTTTATAGCATATCTTTAATGAATGACAAAACAAGAATCATGAAAGTATGAATATCCTCACCTACATGTCCCTCGTATATGTGATGCCATATGAGCCACAAGATTTGATTTCCTGGAAACTTTCTTTTCACACATTGTACACTGATGACCCTTTGGTGTTGGTAAATGCTGCAGTGTTCCAAGCTGTATATACAATGAGGAAATAAATACTGATAGATATATTAATAATTCCTTAGTATAATACAATGTACTGTATAGAGCAAAATGTCATAGGGAAACCTCATCAAAACCAACACTTCTCCTGGGTACCTGAGCAGCCTAGACATGGATAATTTCTAGGGCAAATCAAATATTTATATATATATATATATATATATATATATATATATATATATATATATATATATATATATATATATATATATATAAAGAAAATATGTTGAAACCTTTCTACAATCTTTAAAACCAAAAATTTATGTCGTATTTATTAATATGCTTATAAGCAGATGAGATGCAAAAAAATAAAAATAAACATTTCATTACCATCCAGTATTGTTCGTATTGTTGATCTTTTCAAACACTAAAAACAACGTTCAGTAAAACTTTGATTTACTTGCCTTCAGTTTATCCCTTTCAGGGTTGGTGCCATACTAGTATGGCTTGCACGCTAGGGTTGGTGCCGTACTAGTATGCATAAATTCTAGCGCCTTCATATCTAGCAAGAGAAAGCTGGTAGGCCTACATATAAAAGAATGGGTCTATGTGGTGGTCAGTGTGCACAGTATAAAAAAAATCCTGCAGCACACAGTGCATAATGAGAAAAAAAACTCCGACCGTGTTCTTGCTTTAAAACAGCGACTTTGCAGTGTATTTCCGTATGCTATTTATGGGTGTATTCTAGTTTTCCTGGTCTCATTTTATAGAATGGAAGATATATTACAAAAATTGAGATGATTTTGATTGGTTTCACAACGAAAAGTACCATGAAATTGAGTTCAAAGTAGCAGAAATGTTCGATTTTTGCCAAAGTTCAAAAGTAAGCAAATCATGTCATGCGTCCAGTACACATCAACTGGTGAGTCTAATATTCTTTCACAAGTGCACTGATATTATTTATACCATTTCTATACTAATGCAGTAGTCTGCATAACAGTAAATCTTCTATTTTTTTGTGAGAATAAAAATTCAAAGTGGAAAGCAAAAGAAATGCAAGAGAGGCCTGGGGACGTGACTAATGAACAGAAAAATTTTTATTTTAGTGCCAGGAATGTCTGTCTTGTTTATTCTGGACCCTATTTGGAAATTGGCATCTTTTGAAATTTGTGTAAAAATTGGCAAAATTGCCAATTTCTGACCACTTTACTGGATAGTCGAAATCTGTAGATGGGTTGTATCTTGTATTCATTCGATAAAAAAAAATGGAGTTCTGGCAAAATAGTTATGATTTTTGTCTACTGGTACATTGGAATTCTCCTAAAATAGGGCTAAAAGTGGGCAAAATTGCCAATGCGTAAACATCTTCGAGACCGCTAAGTTCGCGAGAGCATAATTCTGTAAGTTTTCCATCAAATTTCATACTTTTGGTGTCATTATGATCAGGAAAAGATTCTCTATCATTTCATAAGAAAAAATAATTATTTTTTTTTTTTTAAATTTCCGACCCTCAGAACAAGTTTAGGAGAGGGCCTGCCGACCCTGAAAGGGTTAATGGATTTCAAATTTAATGGACAAAATAAGGACAATGGACAAAGTCTGGAAATAATGGTTGATGTCTGTTGTTTTCAGAATTGTCCATTATTGGTACAATTTCAGAAACAATGGGCAAAGTCCTTTGTTTCCAGTATTTTTTTTTTTAACCCACTGGCCATCTTCCACCAAGCCAGGGTGACCCGAAACAGAACCATTTTTACCAATATTCACACTATCACTGCCTTGCCAGAGATGTGCAGATACAACAGTTCAGATGTCACTCTACACAGCAAATATCTCCAAACCCCTCCTTTAACCTTTAAACTGTCCAAACATAGATCTACATTTTCGTGCATAGCGCTCCAACTGGTGTCTCTTAATTAAGCCCTTCATATAATATTACCCTGTTCCCACTCCAACAGCTTGTCAAACAACATTCGTCTCCATTCACTCCTATCAAACATGCTCACACTTGCCTGCTGTGTGTCCAAGCCCCTTGCACACAAAACCTCCTTTACTCCCTCCCACCATCTTTTCCTAGGATGACCCCTACCCCTCCTTCCCTCCACTACAGATTTATACACCCTCCAAGTCATCCTATTTTGCTCCATCCTCTCTAAATATTCAAACCATCTCAACAACTCCTCCTCAGCCCTCTGAATAATACTTTTAGTAACTCCACACCTCCTAGTTCACCACACTATGAACTTCTAATTATATATTTTCGTCTCACATTGCCCTTAGACCACAATCTCCATTGCCTCCATAACAGCATAAACTGTCAATTACCGGACTCTTCCCTATTTGTCCATTAAATTAAGGATTCATTAACCTGAATTTTCCCCAAGATATTTTTCCAATATATATTTCAAAACATTTAATCACATCTCTGAATAATTTTTATAATGCTGTATATACTGTACACTTTTTTAAATAACATCAGATTCATTACATTAAACTGCTATGATGGTAATACAATCATATATTACAGTGGAACACTCTCTGCGGAGAGCATCCACGAGCGAGTTTTTCCAAATACGAGCAGTTGATGGGTTAATTTTTTGCTTCCATACACGAGCAAAATTTCCATAAGCGAGCAGACCTCAAGGGAGGTTCCTTGACGCTGGTGAGACTCTTGCTCTTGATCTAGGAAATTGTATCTCATTTGTTGCTCCGATTATCTTATTGAAACTTTGGGCCAATGTATGATGGAAAGATGTCTTACGTACACTTAAAATGAAAAGAAATCAGTGAATAAATAATGGAGTTTCACTTCTCAGCAATTAGCTATCACCTTTGCGGTATTTTGTATGGTTTTTATGGTTGTATTCTCATTTTTTTTTGTTCATCTGATAGAATGGAAAGATATATTACAGAATTGTATGTTTTTGATTGCTTCACACGAAAAGTACCTTGAAATTAAGCTCAACGAGGCGAGAGAAAATGCTTGTTTGCTTGACTATGTTCTATAATGCAGTCGTGAATGGGTTGACATTATTTATACAATTATTGCAATAAGGCATAACAGTAAGTCTTATATTTTTTGTGTGAATAAAAATTACAAATTATTTATATTGTAATAATAATAATAATTAATTATAATAATAATTATAATAATATAAGAATAATTATATAATTAATACAGTTGACCCTCGACTTAACGTATTAATCCATTCCTGAGAGCTCATCGTTAGTCAAAATAATCGTTAGTCAAGTTAATTTTTCCCATAAGAAATAATGGAAATCAAATTAATCCGTGCAAGACACCCAAAAGTATTGAAAAAAAAAAATTTTAAGACACATGAAATATTATTTAATAACACAAAACTGAAGAAGACATGCACAGTTACATGACACTTACCTTTATTGAAGATCTGGTGATGATTGATGGGATGAAGAGGGGAGGGGTGTTGATGGTCTGAGTGTTTAGAAGGGGAATCCCTTCCATTAGGACTTGAGGTGGCAAGACCTTTTTCGGGGTTACTTCCCTTCTTTTTTAATGCCACTAGCGACCACGCCTTGAGAGTCACTGGACCTCTGTCGCACAACATATCTGCCCCATAGTAGGCCTGTACCCTTCCTGTTCCTTTATGGCATCCTAAAAGTATTTCACAACATTGTCATGTCACCATTAAAATTGTTCAGGTTACAGTCCTTCACTGCTCTATGTACTCCTTTGAATTCCTGCCACATATTTTTTCAGCTGCTTTTTGGTCCAAACTGGCAGCCTCCACCATGCCTTATCTCACTATGTATGCATACGATTCATAAATCTCTCAACAACCTTTTCCGGCCTTAAAATTCACTCACATCACCACTAGTTGCTGGCATTTTTCTAATTAATTCGCTTCATGAACTTCCTAGCCTTTTCACATATGATCACTTGAGAGGATGCTATCTCCTGCACTCGCTATCTGTTTTTCGTTTATCCTTCATAACAGTCCTCTCAACATCTTCTATCACTTGCGATCTCTAGTTCGAAAACTTAGTTGACCTTTGGCAAGAACAGCTTCCTTGATTGCCGTTTTCTTAGGCCACAATTGTAGCCGATGGTTGATTGGGGTTTTGTGTACAGCCTGGCCAGCTCGGAGACATGCACTCCACTTTCATACTTAGCAATGATCTCTTTCATTCATATCCATAGAAATCTCACCTTTTTGCTGTAGGGTTGGCACTAGAAGCTTCTTGGGGCCTATGTTGACTTATTTTGCAGGTGCAATCACTAAAAAAGGCTGTGATAATATGAAATGTTCCGATTGTATGCTTGGAAGCAACCGCGGTGGCTGGCTGGCTTGTAAACACTGGCCAGAAGTGGACACGTCTCAGACGGAACGAATAGTGTTGGTCGAGTTTTTTAGCGCTAATCGAGGCAAAATTTTTTTGCGATAATATGTACCGTAGTAGATTTATCGTTATATCGATGCCATCGCTGGTAAGGGTCCCAATGTACTTATAATACATACTAATACTATAATAATATAAAACAATAATAATAATAATACGTATAATAATACATACATAATAATAATGCGAATAATAATACATACATAATAATAATGTACTACATAATAATAATTATAAAAATAGATGGCTTCAAAAGGCCATCACTAGATGGCAGTGTTTACCACAACAAAGAGGGAGTGGTTGAGGCCACCTCCACCTGTTACATAATGACATTTTATTCATTCTAGAGTATAATCAGGTTTCTATGTTATTTATATTGTTTATTATTCCTTATTAGATGAACTGTGATGGATAAATAAGCGTAAGAGTTGATGATAGCGAAATATTCAAGGAGTATTTTGTCCTGTCTCCACATGAACTCTCGTTGGCCGCCGCCGCCGCCACCACACATATAATGACATATTTTATTCATTATAGAGTATATATCAGGTTTCTATGTTATTTATATTGTTTGTTATGTCATATGAGATGAACTGTGATAGATAAATAAGCCGTAGAGTTGACGATAGCAAAATATTTAAGGAGTATTT